CACTGTACTTGGCAATCATTTTAATTATCTCCTGTTGACTTACAATGCATCTGCCCTGAGAGCTTTAACAAACCTTTCTTTTCTTATCCCCACAGCCACCATCCACAAACCAGGAACACATCTCCTCACTTTAGCACAGTTTTCAACCTAGGTGAGATGGTAAGACCCATGTGAGAAAGATTTTGCAAATGACATGCCTCTTAACCACTATTTCTGCTACTGCCTCTCTCTTACTCTATAATTCTTATGCACCTGTCTAGGAGAACAAGTCAGAATCTCAAGAAGAGGCGTATATATTTGAAACAGTGACCTCTTGGTGGACAGAGACCTTAATCTTACTCATTTCAGTACCCAGCACTTAACCAAGTGTCATTTAGCAAAGACTGCTAAATTAAACCACTGAAATAGTTTATTAAAGAGTTTATTAGATAACCAATCATACCATCACCAAACTGAGTATTTCTTGACAATTTACAGCTTCCTGCAGCATCTTCACAATGTTGAGGCAATATGCTATGGTTGTTGAAAGCGATAGGGACAGAACAGGATAGTTATACAGGTAGCTGCAGGGGTCCCAGCAGGTGGCTACAGGTAGAGAGGGAAACCTAGGGAGACCACTGTGAGTTAATGATCACTCAAGAAAGTTATCATAAAGAACATCGTGGAACAAAGCAGGCTTGCTTAACTATAAAGCTAAACATAAAAGCACGAGATATGCACTGGGTCATGATGTAGAAGAAAAATGTTTCAACTCCTATTGATCTGAGTAAGCATTATGATAATCCTAGTTTGACCTCACAGGGTCAGACACTCTCGTGCCCAATATGGAGGAGGAGCAAGTGATACAAGACTGACTCTACTCAAAGAAGGCAGTTTTTTCCCCTTCCCTCACTTTCCCTTGACTATACTATTGTAGCCTACCTAACCTTCGAGGCAGAGCTTTCTCACCTGTCTGCGTGCATCTCTCTCACAAGCATCCTATATTAATAAACCTACTTCTTGCCTATCACTTTGCCTCTTGCTGAATTCCTTCTGCACTGAGACACAAAGAACCTGAGCCTCAGTTAAGTCCAGACGCCAAGTGAGTGATTCTAAGTAAAAGACCATGGGTTCAAATCCCAATCAGGGTTTTGGCTGGGTTCAAGTCTGGGCACGTGCATTCAAGTCCCAGTCTGAGGTGCACGGATTCAAAGGCACAGGCCTTGAAAGTTTCACAGACTCTGGAGCCAAATCAGTGGGTTGGAGCATAAGCTACACCGGGAAGCAAGAGCTCTAAAATTCAGGTAGAAGTTACTGAACCATTTTATGCAACTGCCTCATCTTTAAAAACAGGGTTAATAAAAGCACCTACCTTACCGGGTATTGTGAGAATTATATGTAAAGAACTTAGAAGATAGTCAAACACTTCATAAATATGAGTGAACATTTTCATTATTATTAACAAAGCCCATACCATACAATGAAATTTGTTCCTTGGCTTTTATGACCTTGAAAGTGAAAGGCACTCAGTCGTGTCTGACTCTTTGTGACCCCATGGACTATACAATCCATGGAATTCTCTAGGACAGAATACTGAAGTTGGTAGCTTGCCCACTATTATTCACCTCCTCTCTGACTTCTTCAATTGCTTACTCTGTTCTGGTTTCGGTCAAAGTCCTAGTCTTACTGCTTTTCTTTCTTCTCACTCCTGGCAATCTCACTGAACTCCTAAGGCTTCACCTATCTTCTGCGTGTGGATGAAGCCAACCTTGACTGCTCTCTCCCGAGCTCCAATTCAGACTACCTAGTTGAACACTTAAGTCACCACTATGTCTCAGATTAGCAAAGCTCCTTTCTCTAGGTCTGTGAAAGGCCAAGATTTACAATAATGAGCCCAACAAGAATTGGGAAATGAGGTTAGCTTCTGAGAGTTTCACTTAAACAGCTAAAGCAGTGATGTCTCCAGAAAGAGAATGGATCTCAAACTCGTTTTGGGTTGGTCATAAGGTTCATTCATGTTTTTCCATAACATCTGACAAAAAAAATCTAAACGAACTTTTTAGCCAACCTGACAGAGCCACACATCCTTAATCAGACTTAAAGTATTTATGATATCAAAAGAAAAAACGTGGCAGTCTACAGCAACCTAGAATGGCAAGTTATAGAAACATAGGAAGTGCTGTGTCCTGGGGGCTCAAGAGCTCAGGGCAGCTCTAAGCCCAGGCACAGGAGGGGGCAAGGGTATGAAGATGGAATCTTGTGCTGAACACAAGACCTTTCCTGTATGTCTTCTGAGTCACCTGATAATTAGGCTCACTCAATTAAAATTTCACTTCATCTAACCCCACTTGCTCTGACTCCATACTTTGCTATTTGTCACGTAAATCCTTTTTATGGATCTGCTTCCCACAAAGATCTGACTCCAGAGAAAATGTTTTAGTCATATAGTCACATGGATATACTGTCTTTATTTCCCATCCCTATTACAAGGACTTTCCATGATGAATTAATCAAGTAACTTTTGGTTACCTTGTAAGTCTCCACGTAACCTCAATTATAGAGAAAGAGATGATCTTACCAACATGTTGTTGTTTGATCACTAAGTTGTGTCTGACTCTTTGTGACTCCACGGACTGCAGCATGCCAGGCTTGCCAACATGAATGTTTCTACTCTCTATGGCAGTTACATTTTGTATTATGAATAAACTGATTAAAAGCATGAGTTCTGAGGACACATGCCTAACTTTGGATCCTGCTCTGGTTTCTACTAGTTTGTTCAGTGTGTGTGCTTAGTCACTCAGTCATGCCCAACTCCTTGGGACCCTCTGGACTGTAGCCCATCAGGCTCCTCTGTCCACAAAACTTTTCAGACAAGAGTACTGGAGTGGGTCGCCATTTCCTCGTCCAGGGGTCTTTCCAACTCAGGGATCAAACCCATGTCTCCTGCAAACCAGGCAGATTCTTGACCTGCTGAGACCTTGGGACCCATGAGCAAATTACTTAGATAATTTTGTGCTTGTTTCCTTATCTATAGAATGGGGATAATGAGTATTCACACCTCAATGAGCTGTCATGAGGAATAAAAGAGAAAATACACGAAACATATAGAACAACGTCTTGCACATAAAAAAATGCTCAATAAAAAAAAGCTGTTGTTATCTCAGAGCACTTTGGATGCTCAAGCTGTTTTGATCCTGGCCTAATCCTGATGTGTGGATCCAATCAAATGCTGTTCCATAAAATGAGATCCTGATCAGCTCCAACCTTGCCTTAGACAAGGAGTCCTTAACCTAAAGGTCATAGTGAGTTTTAGAAAAATTTTTATTCAAAACTGAGTATAAATGGATGGTGTGTATTCTTCTCAGACAAGGGGTCACAGCTTTTCACCAGCTTCTCAATAACCCCAAACAGATTTTTAAATATAAAACAAAGCCTACTGCCTTAATATCATCACTACCACTTTCATCTATTTTTCTCTTTTTATATAATTTCTACACCTTCTCCTAGGCCTCTTTCAACAGGTTACAACAATTTAAAAATTCTCTCTATGCAATATTATCTAGTATAATCCTTCCTTTTTTCAATACTGCCAGGTTACTTCTCAGAATAACTGTGGCAATATTACTTTCTTTGTTCAAAAACAGGACTACTGTCTTAACATCCAAGTATCTTCACTGAGCACTCAAGCCACTATGGCATGGCTATGATCTACTTGTCCAGCCTTGCCCTCCATAAATGGCCCTAAAGCAGTGAGTGAGTCACTTGCCACTGCAGACTCCATGCAGCTTTCCTCCGTGTGTCTGTCTTCAAAACCAGTAAACCAGTAAATCAACACCCTCCTTCAACGGTCGATGTCTTTAACACATGGAGAAGGACCATTAAAATGGGTGCACACAACTGTGTATCAGGGTTTCTCAACTTTGGCATTACTAACATGTCAGGCTGGATAATTCCTTGCTGTGGAGGGCTTTCAGAGGTTTTACAGCACTGGGGGGAGGGGGAGGAGCAAAATCACTCCTGGCTGAGAACTACTAATTTATTACAAGAAATATATTTAATTTCTTCTGATAAACAGTAAGTTCTTTGAGGACAGGGACTATGGCCTTTTTAACTTTTATATTCTCAATTTTACCTAGTATGATGGTTTATGATAGGTTTACATAAATATTTGTTCTCTGCTGAAGTTAGAAGACAGAATATTCTAACCGACCATATTCCAAGGATTTCTAGACATTCTGTAAATTTGAAACACCAAATTTCAACCTGTTAAGTAAAGCTTTTAAAAGGTAAAAATGGCTATGTCATTAACATAACTATAATTTTCAACAAACTATCGATTATAGTTGTGCTCTAAAGGAAATGGCTATAGCACTATAAAGCTTAAGTGGACAATAGACTTCCACATCATATATATGATGCTAGTATTCTATCACTAAGGACTTATAGAAGAGTAACAGAAATTACTTCCTCCTCCCTTCAAATATCCTATGTATACAGGACATAGTGTTTTCTCAGTTAACTGCCCAGAAACATTCAAAGGCTATTTACTGAGAAAGGCCAGGCTTCAATGGAAGGTTGCTAAATCAGGGTAGGTTCCCTAGACCAGTGGTTCCTCAATCCTTCCTACATATTAAGAAGTCTCTGCAGAATTAAAAAGAACATATTACTGAGCTTCCCTCCAGACCAATTAAGTTAGATTCAGGGAATGGTACTGAAGATTAAAATTGTTTTAAAAATCCCCAGTGGATTCTAATTTACAACCAAGTCTGAGAACTGCCCTAGCCTGGCTCAAAATCTCATGTACCTTGACAGTTAACATAAAAAGCACTCTTTTTAGAAAAGTTTAAGCTCAATGGAAGGCTGAAACTTACTCTCTATCTTGCTGACTTGGGCCTGTACCTTAACACTTCATCTTGAATTAAAAGAGCTGCTAGCCTTTTCCTGGGAGAGGCATTACAAAGAAACTCATGGTATGATTCTTAGGCTGCCACTCTACCACCTCACAGAAGCTGAGCACTTACACTCCTCTTTACTTGGTGAAGTTACATTCAGCTCTGTCGGAAGCGGCTGCTGGCTAGGACTAAGAGTTGGCGTGGTTATCGAGGTATTGTTGTTGTCACTGGTGGTCTCTTCGGAAAACAAATCTGATTGGCTGTTACTTGTACTTGGAGTGGAATCATCGTCTGGTTGTTTCTTTTGAAAATCTGAAGAGAAAGAGTGAAAAGAACAAGTTTAAATGTAAATGGGTTGAATGCCCCAACCAAAAGACAAAGACTGGCTGAATGGATACAAAAACAAGACCCCTATATATGCTATCTACAAGAGACCCACCTCAAAACAAGGGACACATACAGACTGAAAGTGAAGGGCTGGGGAAAAGTACTTCACGCAAACGGAGACCAAAAGAAAGCAGGAGTCACAATACTCATATCAGATAAAATAGACTTAAAAATAAAGGCTGTGAAGAGAGACAAAGAAGGACACTACATAATCATCAAAGGATCAATCCAAGAAGAAGATATAACAATTATAAATATTTATGCACCCAACATAGGAGCACTGCAATATGTAAGGCAAATGCTAACGAGTATGAAAGGGGAAATTAACAATAACACAATAATAGTGGGAGACTTTAATACTCCACTCACACCTATGGATAGATCAACTAAACAGAAAATTAACAAGGAAACACAAACCAAATGACACAGTGGACCAGCTAGACCTAATTGATATCTATAGGACATTTCACCCCAAAACAATCAATTTCACCTTTTTCTCAAGTGCACACGGACCCTTCTCCAGAATAGATCACATCCTGGGCCATAAATCTAGCCTTGGTGAATTAAAAAAATTGAAATCATTCCAGTCATTCTTTTCTGACCACAATGCAGTAAGATTAGATCTCAATTACAGGGGAAAAAACTACTAAAAATTCCAACATATGGAGGCTAAATAACACACTTCTGAATGACCAACAAATCATAGAAAAAATCAAAAAAAAAATCAAAATATGCATAGAAATGAATGAAAATGAAAACACAACGACCCAAAACCTATGGGACACTGTAAAAGCAGTGCTAAGGGGAAGGTTCATAGCAATACAGCCTTACCTCAAGAAACAAGGAAAAAGTCAAATAAATAACCTAACTCTACACCTAAAGCAACTAGAGAAGGAAGAAATGAAGAACCCCAGGGTTAGTAGAAGGAAAGAAATCTTAAAAATTAGGGCAGAAATAAATGCAAAAGAAACAAAAGAGACCATAGCAAAAATCAACAAAGCTAAAAGCTGGTTTTGTGAAAAGATAAATAAAATTGACAAACCGGTAGCCAGACTCATTAAGAAACAAAGGGAGAAGAGCCAAATCAACAAAATTAGAAATGAAAATAGAAAGATCACAACAGACAAGACTGAAATACAAAGGATCATAAGAGACTACTACCAGCAGCTCTATGCCAATAAAATGGACAACTTGGAAGAAATGGACAAGTTCTTAGAAAAGTATAACTTCATAAAACTGAGCCAGGAAGAAATAGAAGATCTTAACAGACCAATCACAAGCACAGAAATCGAAACTGTAATCAGAAATCTTCCAGCAAACAAACGCCCTGGACCAGATGGTTTCACAGCTGAATTCTACCAAAAATTCAGAGAAGAGCTAACACCTATCTCACTCAAACTCTTCCAGAAAATTGCAGAAGATGGTAAACTCCAAATTCATTCTATGAGGCCACCATCACCCTAATACCAAAACCAGATAAGGATGCCACAAAAAAAGAAAACTACAGGCCAAAATCACTGATGAACATAGATGCAAAAGTCCTTAACAAAATTCTAGCAAACAGAACCCAACAACATATTAAAAAGATCATACATCATGACCAAGTGGGCTTTATCCCAGGAATGCAAAGATTCTTTAATATCCACAAATCAATCAATGTAATACACCACATTAACAAATCGATAAAAACCATATGATTATCTCAATAGATGCAGAAAAAGCCTTTGACAAAATTCAACATCCATTTATGATAAAAACTCTCCAGAAAGCAGGAATAGAAGGAACATACCTCAACATAATAAAAGCTATATATGACAAACCCACAGCAAACATTATCCTCAATGGTGAAAATTTGAAAGCATTTCCCCTAAAGTCAGGAACAAGAGAAGGGTGCCTACTCTCAGCACTACTATTCAACATGGTTTTGGCCACAGCAACCAGAGCAGAAAAAGAAATAAAAGGATTCCAGATAGGAAAAGAAGTAAAACTCTCACTGTTTGCAGATGACATGATCCTCTACATAGAAAACCGTGAAGACTCTACCAGAAAATTACTAAAGCTAATCAATGAATATAGTAAAGTTGCAGGATATAAAATTAACACACAGAAATCTCTTGCATTCCTATACACTAACAATGAGAAAACAGAAAGAGAAATTAAGGAAACGATACCATTCACCATTGCAACAAAAAGAGTAAAATACTTAGGAGTATATCTACCTAAAGAAACAAAAGACCTATACATAGAAAACTATAAAACACTGATGAAAGAAATCAAAGAGGACACAAACAGATGGAGAAACATACCGTCTTCATGGATTGGAAGAATCAATATTGTCAAAATGGCTATACTACCCAAAGCAATCTACAGATTCAATGCAATCCCTATCAAGCTACCAACAGTATTCTTCACAGAACTAGAACAAATAATTTCACAATTTGTATGGAAATACAAAAAACCTCGAATAGCCAAAGCAATCTTGAGAAAGAAGAATGGAACTGGAGGAATCAATCTGCCTGACTTCAGGCTCTACTACAAAGCCACAGTCATCAAGACAGTACGGTACTGGCACAAAGACAGAAATACAGATCAATGGAACAAAACAGAAAGCCCAGAGATAAATCCACATACCTACGGACACCTTAATCTTCGACAAAGGAGGCAAGAATATACAACAGAAAAAAGACAACCTCTTTAACAAGTGGTGCTGGGAAAACTGGTCAACCACTTGTAAAAGAATGAAACTAGAACACTTTCTAACACCACACACAAAAATAAACTCAAAATGGATCAAAGATCTAAATGTAAGACCAGAAACTATAAAATTCCTAGAGGAGAACATAGGCAAAACACTCTCCGACATAATCACAGCAGGATCCTCTATGACCCACCTCCCAGAATAGTGGAAATAAAAGCAAAAATAAACAAATGGGACGTAATTAAACTTAAAAGCTTTTGCACAACAAAGGAAAACTATAAGCAAGGTGAAAAGATAGTCCTCAGAATGGGAGAAAATAATAGCAAATGAAGCAATAGACAAAGGATTAATCTCAAAAATATACAAGCAACTCCTGCAGCTCAATTCCAGAAAAATAAATAACCCAATCAAAAAACGGGCCAAAGAACTAAACAGACATTTCTCCAAAGAAGACATACAGATGGCTAACAAACACATGAAAAGATGCTCAACATCACTCATTATCAAGAGAAATGCAAATCAAAACCACAGTGAGGTACCATTACATGCCAGTCAGAATGGCTGCTATCCAAAAGTCTACAAGCAATAAATGCTGGAGAGGGTGTGGAGAAAAGGGAACCCTCTTACACTGTTGGTGGGAATGCAAACTAGTACAGCTGCCATGGAGAACAGTGTGGAGATTCCTTAAAAAACTGGAAATAGAACTGCCACATGACCCAGCAATCCCACTCCTGGGCATACACACCGAGGAAACCAGAACTGAAAGAGGCACGTGTACCCCAATGTTCATCACAGCACTGTTTGTAATAGCCAGGACATGGAAGCAACATAGATGCCCACCAGCAGACCAGTAGATAAGAAAGCTATGGTACATATATACAATGGAATATTACTCAGCCATTAAAAAGAATACATTTGAATCAGCTCTAATGAGATGGACAAAACTGGAGCCCATTATACTGACTGAAGTAAGCCAGAAGATAAACACAAATACAGTATACTAATGCATATATATGGAATTTAGAAAGATGGTTAACAATAACCCTATATGCAAGACAGAGAGACACAGATGTATAGAACAGACTTTTGGACTCAATGGGAGAAGGCGAGGGTGGGATGATCTGAGAGAATAGCATCGAAACATGTATATTATCAAGTGTGAAACAGATCGCCAGTCCAGGTTGGATGCATGAGACTAGTACTCAGGACTGGTGCACTGGGATGACCCAGAGGGATGGGATGGGGAGGGAGGTGGGAGGGGGGTTCAGGATGGGGAACACATGTAATCCATGGCTGATTCATGTCAATGTATGGCAAAAACCACTACAATACTGTAAAGTAATTAGCCTCCAACTAATAAAAATAAATGAAAAAAAAAAAAGAACAAGTTTAAATAAGGACTTCACAATTGCCTTGGATATTAGAAAATAATGAAAGTTAGTATAAAAATTAAAACTAATTTGAGTGACTAAAAAAATGTAATTAAAATACTGGTCAAAACCTTAGAAAATTGGTGGAGGGTCAATGAATTAAAGATTTCCATGGTCCCTGTATTATTCAGACATTCATACTGATTTTAATGTTAAGTCTCAGAAATGCCAAGCGCATGTTAAAATTTTAGGGGTAAACAAGGATAAAAGGAATAAAGAAAAACTATTCAAACTGTTCTTTCCTGGACAGGAAACAAGGTGAAAAACAGCTGAGGAAAAAAGCAGGGTAAACAGAAAACAAATAATAATCTGGTAGGAATAAGTTCAGATATACCACTAGTGGTAATAAATGTAAACAGTTTAAACTTAACAGTTAAAATACAGGAAATTCAAACTAAATAAACAAAATCCTGCTTGGAAAATTATGGAGCTTCCAAGAGACATACTAAAAATATTAACATGAGAGAAAAATTTTAAAGTATGTAAACAAAACACCAGTAAATACAAATGATTAAAAAGCCAATCATAGCTAAAGTACTCTCAGGAAATGTAAACTCTGAAGAAAAAGCATTATGAGAGATAAAGAAGATCATTATATAACTGCCAAAAAAAAAAAAATTACCAGAAATATAAAACAACTCTTATTTAATCTATATGTACCTAAAAACAAAGCCTCAAAATATGTAAGGCAAAAATAATTGGAAACCATTGGAATCTATGGGATTCAATGATCGGAATTTATGGGAAACCAACAATTAGATAATGAATTACTTTCAAACACATGTGGAATATTTATA